CCTGCACTTTTCTCATTCCCCAATTTAAATGAGTTTTCCAGTCCACTGCTCATTTCCCCTTCTCAGAGTTTAATTTTGAATTCTGTGGGCTGCACAGAGGCAGAGACCCCTGAGGATTTGAAGAGTGCCTTCAAGATAGTGTCAGGGTCCACCTCAGCTGGGGGATTTGAGGAGGCGCTTGCACTTGACCGGCGTGGTTCCCCTTCCTTCTTCACTGAAGGGGTATCACTCAATCGGCTGGAGGATTAAAAAAAAAAAAGAAGCAGTATTTAACCTCTCATTATGAAATAAAGTTTAACAATGTGTCTGCATTTACTGTTCTCTGTGTTGCCTGCTTCCCAATATTAGAGATAGAGGTTTTAAATATGCTTTCTTCACAAGAAAACTTCCCTATCTCAGGCTTGTTTCAAGCCTCCAGGCTGGGAACACTATGGAGGCAAGCTATACCTCACTCAGGTCATCGTAGAGCACCACAGAGAGGAAGAGAAGGATAATATTCATGGGACAATAATTTGTCAACAGTTTTACTCCCCTCAGGTTCTCCTCGAAACAGAACCCACAAATGCGTTTGGTTCTTCCCCCCATCCAGAGTACACTTACAGCAATATAGGCTGGTCTGAGGTGATGACGTTCCCATTCATATGAAGATTGCATTTCATTGGTTGACCTAAACAAACACAGTAAAAAAGTCCTTACATCAGAATGGTGGAAAGGCAAGACCCCAGAAATATCACACATCAGTGCAAGCAACAGAGTTCCACAGGCTTGGGAAACACGACAAAGAACAGTCGATACACCTATTGTTGCAAAGTCACAGCAAGAGAAGAGCCACTGAAACATTCAGTACCATGTAAGACTCACTCAAATTAAGAAATTACATATAGGTACAAAACCCCTAGCAGAGACAACATAATCTCCTGTTCTCAGATGTCTACTCCTTATCTGACATTCGTAACAAGTCAGTCATCTAGAGAAAGAAAAAGCATCTATTTCCAGCTAAAAATTAACAACTAATTTGAGCCTGTAACAACATTGCAGGTGGATCCAGATGAACAATTGCATTGTTCAAAGTTTATGGATAAGCTGATACTAACTGTTTTACAGGTCTGATTTTTACTTGTACTTTGCAAACAACTATTCTGTAAACCAGTAACGCCTTCCCAAGGACTATCTAGCTTTTAGCACTGGATTAGAAACAAAAGAAATTTAGTCTGGGAGTTAGACCAGAGGAATCACCGGGACCCCACCTCTAGTTTTGAGCACTCTCTTCCTAGGAAAATCTTTTTCTGAATTTCCCTTAAATAAACTGTGCATATATTCAGCTAGTTACATATCAGCGTATTACATTGTCTAGCTCTTGAAGTGATTTTCTGGCATTTCCTCTCTCGGTAGCATATGAGCATCTGAGATGCTTTTAAAACTCTCTGCTGGGGTAGAAGAGTCCTTGTTGATTTATCTATCCTAGATGCAACTCTGGCTTCAAACTTACCATCTAAGCACCTGTTGTTGTATTTCTTATACGCTGTGATAGCATCTTCTTTCTTCACGAATACAACCTCAGCCACTCCAGGGTGCACCAGCCGGGCTCGCTTCAGAGCACCACAGACACAGAATAACTCCTGAGGGCAGAGAGTTAGTCACGACCATGGTCACATCAAAGGTACCACTTCAGCCAAAGACACTGAGCAAGAAAGGCTTAGTTTCCTAATTGCACCATCCATCCCCCTTAGTAAATACATGGCAGAATCTTGCCACTTGTCTCATTTTGTGTTTGCTATGGTATGAGTACTTGGCATTAGTAATACAAATTGCACAAAGCTCCATATTGCTACCCACACAAGCAGAAAAGTTCAAGGCCAGTATTCTATGGCGTTTGTCACACATGAAGACCAGGCTTGTTCTCAGCCTGCTGAGAATGGAAGCGCCTAGATAATTTGGATGGGGGTATAAGTTTGAGGACAACAGCAAGCGTGATTTGTCATGAACTCTTAAGTGATGTCAGGTATCTCAGTACACCCTAGAAATGGTTATTTTGTCCCAACTTCTTAAGCACACGCTTTTTTTAAATAGTGAACAAACACGAAATAAAAAAAAATAAAAAAACCCGAAACTTTCAAAGCTTTTGCAAGGAAAGCAAACCCACGTTATACTCCTCTTCATTGCATTCACCATAGAACAAGTGATTTATCAAAAGAGGTAGGTTAAGGGAAGGAAGTAACACTCATCCACAGTTAGGCAGTAAACAAAACTCACAACAATGTCTTCCTCTGTGACTCGAGGATGCAGATTGTTTACGGTCATCTTTGTGCCTTCCAAAGGACTGAATGCCAGCTGCCAACACAAACAAATGCATCACATAAAGGTGAAAAACGCAGCAAGCAAGACAGCACAGCAGAGAAAGCATTAAAAGAAAGTTATTAAAGGGATGTCTGGGAAAGCCTGTACATGCACACAAAGGCAAGAGCTACCAGCTAGTACAGGGAAGTATCAACGCTTACAAAAGCCCAACTCATCTGCTGGTAAAAAGGAGCCCCTTTTCCATGCTAATTTATCTCTAAAGTAACTTTTCTCTTTCATTCCCAAGTATAACATGAACTTTCTCTGCATACATACACAGCTTTTAAGTGCGTGTCTCTGCTGCACTCTACACCAGCCAGCAAACCCCAAAATATGGCTCCAGTCCCTCAAGAGCATGCCGAACTGAACATGCCTGGGAAAACCTCGTGGGTTACTTGTACCCAACACCAGGCAGCTGGCAAAGCAATTCCAGGCAGGTTATCTACAAATTGCCCAGGAGGTCTAATACAGACAGCAAGAAGCTGTATTTGCAAGAATCCTGTTTTTCTCCTCACTAACAGGAGTGGACAGAAGACAACGTAACTAGTAGTGTTAAAACACTATTCCTAGGGACGTAGAAGCCTCCAAGAAGTGTCCAAACAGCAACTGTCACCTCCCTGTAACATGGATTCCTCCAGGACCATGTGCTCCCATGCTAGATAAAAAAGTTGAGAGAAGCAAGATGCACTAACTGAGAATTTCCCATCTCTCAAACACTGAGGAAATGGATGTTTAGACAGGTTTCAAGTTCTTGGGACATGGGTTGCAGTTATCAGAATAAGCTTGATGGAATCCAAGAAATAATGGTGGAAGGCAGGCAGAAATTAGTTGCTTGCCTAACTGATGAACAGCAGGTTTCATGTTTCAGAGACTTCTATAAAAAGCATCTCCCACTTCCCTGAGCTCACCTCAACAGGTGCTGGTTCTTTTGGAGGCTCCTCCTTTGTCACTAAGGTCCGGGACATGTTTGTCAAGGCCTTCGTCCGCATAGGAGAGGGAGGTGCAGGCGGAGCTGTGTACGTATCATTCTGGACCACTTTAGTCAGGGGAACAGTCTTGGACAAAGAGAATTTATTGCCACTCAGCCCAGCCTACAGAAAGAAAGAATAAAGTATCTCTGAAAGCTGCAGGCTACAAACGTCATCCCTCCTCTTCAAGCACCAATAGCAGGAAAGCAATACTAGCATGCACTAAGAACTGCATGTCCCTCCTGGTGTCAGAATCACTGCAGTGCTAGAAACTTTTGGCTTTGAGACAAAAATCAACTGAAGTTTCTGTGCATATGTTTATCCCACAAGAGCACTTCCCTCACTGGTTTCATACTCTTCTTAAATGAACTTTACTAATGCAATCTGAAAAGCTCCTTTTATCCAAAGATTTTCAAGTACTTTACAAACTGTACACAAAGATTACTCCTTAAGATTGAGCTGCATTAGTACAAACAGCAATACTTCTTCAGAAACACCAAGCTAGGGCATGCAAAGACATGGAGCGTAACCCTTCTAGTTGGAACTACCTGGGGAGTTTAAAGCCAGAAAAAAAAGAATTGTGCTTGGCAGGTGCTGTGAATACTGGAGATAACACATTTACTCCTGCAAAAAAAAGAAACCAAACCCTTAAGGCTGATTTTCAGGATCACAAATGGCCAGGAGCTCTATTCTGAATACCCACATGAGAAAAAAACATGGGATTATCATTGCACTGAACTGCCTGTGTGATGGTAAAACCACATTAATTTGCTTTCTTAGAACTACAGCATAATTTAGGACAAAACCATGTCCGGCCCTCATGTCTGAAACAGCTAACTTCAAAGACACATCAGGTTGGCTCATGGCCTCATCCAGTTTAACTCTGAATGCCTCCGAGAATGGCAATTCCACAACCTCTCTGGGTCCCTGTGCCAGAGGCTGACCGATACTTTGACAATTGCAGAACTTCCCCCCAATATCTAACTAGATTTTATTTTGCTGCAACACATTTGTTGGTTCATTTTCTCCCTGTTCACTCCTGAAAAGGACCTGGGTTTTACCTTTTTCATGACGGTGTATTAGGCAGTGAAAGTGCACGGACAGATCTCACTACAGCTTTCTCTTCTCAGCCTTAAGAGACATTGCTCTCTCACACTCACCTCAGCTCCCTGACCACCCTGTTGTACTAGTTCCAGTCTATCAGGGTCTGTCTTGTATCACAGAGCCCCAAAATAGGCACAGTACTACAGGTGCATTCTCAAAATGCCAAACTAATAATTGTCTTCATTGATTTGCTAGCTATGATCTAATATAAAATCTACAGTTGGCCTTCACTGCTGCAAGGATGCACTGCTAACTCATTCTTAGTACATCACCCAGCAGGACCACCAGCCTCTTTCCTACAAAGTCACTTTCTAGCCAGTCAATTCTTTACTTAAGATGCAGAGGGTTATCCCATCCTAAGAGCAGGACCCCACATTTGTCTGTGTGGAAATTTAATCTTCTCCAGAGCATCAGTACTCCCCAACGAGCTGCCAGCTAAGATTTTTGCATGGCAAGACATTTCCTGCTTTGATGTCCAGCAGCTTGCCTGCTCAAACAATAACAAGATAGGTTCAAAGCACTTCCCTGAGAAGAAAGTCAAGAGCTAACATGCAGCAATCTGCCAGCAAGGGAGAAAGCACACACTCTGCCTGCAAAAGGCCTATAAAACCACAGTTAGCCTAAAAGGGAGTCTGTCCCTAGAAGCATTGGCACAATGGGAAGGGTGGGGTGAAGAGCAAACATTTCAGCAGAAAGCATCGTTTACATACTTTAAAAGAACATAAGCCCTGTAAAGCTGCAGCCTGTGTGTCCACCCAATGTGAGCATGGCGTGGTGGGGACTGTTCAGATAATCCCTTACCGCGTTGTGCAGGAAACTGTTTGTGGTGGTGATTTTCATCTGTTTGCTAGTAAGGGGAGAGACACTTTCATCATCATCTTCCATGTCATACAGACCCTGAAGAGAAGCAAGGTAATACTTTACAAGCAGGTACACTTGATCTAGAAATCATTTCCAAAATAAGTAGTTTTACCCTGCCTCCAGCCTTCTTCAGGTAATGAACATGCCTACACTGGATTTTATTCTTGGTCCTTGCAGCTTAGAGACGCAAAGCTGAAAGTATGCAAGTCCGTTTTAAAACAGCGTACAAATGATCAAACCACTTTTCCAAAAATGCCACAGTAAATCTGTTTCCCTAGGTGTACTGAAACCACATACAGATTTCTCTAATCCTTAGACCTCATCAGAACTGATGAAACCACATTAATGGAATAAAGCCTCAGTGTCTTGCTTTTTAGCACTCTGCTACCTTTAAAGTTGAAGCCTGTGCATATGATTATTTTTTAAAAATTAAGCAGATGCCTGCCGAATACATCCAAATCAAACATTCCTTTTGAACAGCCTACTTTCCTCAGCACAGCACATATCCGTCTGGCACTAGAAAACACTGCACTAGGTGGTTTACTGAATGAATAATTAATTTCCCAGTTCAACTTAACACTCATAGCCCTGCCTTAAAATACTGAGGCGAACTCCTACACAAATATTTTGTCAGACTGTAAATAATGTTAAGAAAAAGTCTATACACATACAGCACTGCCCAGAACATAAGTCACAACTGAGAACAGCTTCCCATTAATTGAGTAGAAAGGTGAATAAAAATGGAGGAATTAGCAATGACAGCTTGCAAAATAAGTGGGTTTTCACAGTCAGCAAGATTCTGGCTTACAAACAGGAAAGTTGTTTCAGTCACAGAAATGCTATGAAGGGAAAAACCAAAAGGGATAGTACAACAGAGGGAAAACAGAAAATAAAAGAACTGGGAAAAACTCTAGCCATCAGGACAATGGACTTGAGTTTGAGACAAATGAAATAGTTTCAAGGCTTACAGTGATGAGGTCAGAATAATGAAGACACTTCCTTAAGTGACAGCATCTGGGATAGGTGAGGGCAGCAGGTCAATGTAGAGATAACATGCACAAATAGCTAAAGTTACCATAATCAAGGCAAAAAAAAAATCCCAGGACATGATACGGCAAACGTCACTTTTCCAGTATTTCATATAATGCTTTATGTATACACACACAAAATAAAGTAATAAAAATGTGCAATTCTTCTCTGAAAGAATCCAAGGTGGTAAGGTGGCTGAATGGCTGGGGGCTGTGACAAAGGCCTTTGAAATGAATTCCAGAAGAGACAGCACAAATTCTAGGGTTTTCCTCAAAAGTCTGCCTGATAAGGGATATGGCAACTTTGATAGTACATCAGAATAACAGTTAACATCATTCACTATCAGGTTTCCAGCAGGGACCCACAGTTGGGATTTCACAGGCAGGTTATACCCTCTCCCACCTCACTGTAGAACATTTGAGCATGTACAATCATATCCATTCTCTGAAGAGGCTGGCAGGATGGTGAATCAAAACAACCAACAACTTGATCTGATGTGGTGTCACTAAGAAATTTACAGAAAGATAGAACTAAAGGTCACAGTCTTTAGAAAAAAAAAACACATTAGCACATACAGATAGAAACTGGGAACATGTAACATACAAGGAATCAAGATCAATTAGACTAAATGAAAACCTCAATTACCATGAAGTATCTCAACCACATGAGAACAGGGAGCTAAGCTGTTAGAGAACTTCCAAACATTCCTCTTTTCTTTCCTACTTGAAGCTTTCTTTGCACCTGCAAATGTTTATGGACACCCTCCTTCCTCCCCAAAGGTAACAAGAAAGAGCATAAAGAGGGCACACACCTGTTTGTGTGTACCTCAGATTAAATACTTCAATTTAGCAGTTCATTGAGAGTGTCCAGGAACTGGAGCCTTCTGCTACAGTTAGAGGGAAAGAACCAAAGCATTAAAAGCTACAGTCCACCAGATTCCCATTTTAGAAGACTGGGGATGTTAATTGATACCCTGAGACCACTTCAATGAAACTCAATTCTCCTGCTCTTGAAACATATCACCATGATAATGCTATTGGAGAACACCTATGTTTCCTGCAATATGTTCAATATGAGATAGCCTCACTTAAGCGAAGAAATCAAAGCTTAAGGCCATGCAGAGAAACTGATTTAAATTACTTGATTTTTAGTCCAAGATTAGTGGGAAGGGGACTTAACTCCAGCCCTGCCAGCACTGACTAGATCCACATTTCTGCCAGTACGAAACCATGAATGGGGTAAGTCAGCCAGTAAGCTTCTCTTCTTTCATGCTAAAGGGAACCAAAGATACCCATTTCCATCAATTTCAACAAGCTGGGACACAACACAATTTAGTTTAGTTCCATTTCAAAGGAGATGTATATACTGTCCCTTCCCACTAGAGCTGGAATTAGGTGCACTGGACTAAGTGATGCACGGGGTAGTGTAGCTGACCCTGCTGCAGCCTGTTAACCTATGAAACACGGAAACCGCAACAGCAGTAGTCAAGGAATGTAGCTGTACTAATCAGCAACTGAAATCAAGCAGCAACTCCCTCAAAAATGCCCTTTGGCTTTTTAAAAAGCTGGAAGCTGTCCATTAGCAAAAAGAATGGGTCTTCTTACAAAAATAATACACACAGGCAGTAAAATCTTCAGATTTGCATTCTCTCTAGACTGTAACTTACACCACAGCACCCTCATGTTTCAATTTGCTAATCAATTCAGAAACAAGGGTGCCTATCCTGTGGAAATACCACCAGAGCTATGGAAATTTTTGGGTTTCAAAGACTTTTCCTTCCTTTACGAGAAACAAGACCACTGTACAGGACATTAGAGATACGTGCTGCATCTCAGATCAAGATACTTTAGTTTGATTCTGTTCCTGCATTTGGGAAGAGAGGAAGGCCATGGGCAATTTAGAATTTTAGTATACATCTTTAAAAAAATTATTAGATAATTGCTCATGTGCATGGTTTTGTCTACAGTCTTAATCACCATTATATTGTACAATATTTTTTCTTGTACTATGTTGTCTAACAAACAGAAAGTACTATAGGTCAAACCAAGTCATACAAAAAAAAAAATCAGGTCAGAACAAATTGCTGCTGTGCTAAGTCTCTGGAAACTATTTTAACTCCTACAAACTTTGCAGAAAATGTTCGATTCCTAATGGCTGATGGTGGTGATATGGCTTAGGACAGCATGAGTACTAATTACCCTACTAATTAAAGACTACTGAACAGACTGCTCTATTGCTCTGCGATTAGCCCTTCTTACTGCCACAAGAGTCCTTTCTCTTTCTTAGGTCAGTCTGGCAGGAAACCTGCCGAGTAATAGAAAATTTCCTAGGCTAATTTAAAGAAATATGCTTGATGCTCTTGAGCAAAACCCACAGCTGAACAGAAAGCAGACTCATCTAGTCTTTCAAACAGATGAGAATAGGAGATTTTCTGGGTACACGTAAGCACACTGTTGATCTTTGGGAGAAGGAAAATCAAAGAGGTAGGCTAAGAAATTCAGTTACATGTTTGTAAAGATGAGGAATAATACCACTCCTCAAACAATCCTGACAGTCTGGAAACTTCTCTTCTGACTCTACCCACTGTACCTAAAACACACATAGTTCAATAGTAGTTGTTTCTCCGAGAATTGTGCTAAGAATCAAGTTACTGTGCACACAGCAAAGTGAAATCAGAAAATCGTCAAAGGAAAACAGCAGATTAGGGTGATCAACTAACTGATCATACTGCAACTGAAATAAAATCTTGAGCCTCAGCAGAAATGCAATATGTAATCAGGCAACCCCTGAAGCCAGGGCTTTCCTGAAAACCAGACAAGTAGAAATAGAGAAACTGTAGAAAGGCTCATTGAATTTTAGGTCTTCTTAGATACAAACATAGCTGTATATTCTAAACTGTTACCTACCACTAAGACAAACCAGTTATCTAGACAGGACAATCTACCACAGACTTGCAAAGAGGGATGGTATAAGAATGACAAAAAATGCATACATTTTCTTCATATTTAGGTAGGAAAGAGACTACTTAACCATTCAAGACAACTACTTTAATGCTGACAGGAACACTGCTTTAGATTTTATTGCACCCAAAATTCAAATGAAGAATTAAATGACAGCTGGGATTCTACAAAAAGCCTCAAGCAGCTGGAAGGACACCCAAAAGGCTCTGAATCCTGCCCTACAGGCTAGACTTAACTGTATCACCATTGCTTCTATTGTAAACATGGGAACATATTCGTGTATTATCATTTCTACTGGACTGCTGCAGAATAACTGAGGGGCTCAGAGGTGGCTCGCTTGACCTACTTGGATAGTTTTGGTGATTTTCACAGCTGGATTTACTGTCCCCATAGCTGGGCTGATAGTAGCTGGAGCACTCCTTTTTAAGCTGATCTTCTCTCTGGCATCCACCACTTTGGTCACCTTTTCAGCAGCAACACTTTGCTGTTTACGGGAATTCAACATCTCTCGAGCATCCTGCACCTTCCCTTTGATTTTGAACCGAGCGTCCTTTTGAACCAGTTTTTCACGAGCATCTTTAACCCCCAGTTTGTGTCGGGCATCAGTGAGTCCAATCTTCTGTCGAGCATCAAATGTCCGCTGGAAGCTGACAGCTGGTGATGATCTGTTTAGAATATTTTGCTGGACCCCAATGCGAGATCTTACACCTCCAAACACTGGCCTTGTGTTAAGCCTGGGGAAAAAATAAAGTTTCAGACATTTTCAGATGTGATACTGTATCACTAAAAGTATCTGTGTTGCTGCAAACAAAAGCTCATTATTGCTGCACAGAAATCCACTCAGGTTAGATGTCCAAATACAACAGTAGAGCTCTTAGGCTGTTTTATGCTGGATTTTACTTTCTGCATAAACAGCTAAGGAACTGATTTCCAAAATCCATCCTTAAGCTCACATTTACAAACTTAAGTAAAGACTCTCATTTCAGCTGTGGTAAGTCCGTACTACATTTAAACAAAATTCATCAACAACTAAGGTACTTTTGGGAAACCTTTGAAGACAAAGAGGAACAGAAACAGACTTTCTAGCTTGAAGACTGAGCAGGTCTGCCTAAAGCATCTTTTGTAATAAAATAATATGTCCCGATACAAAGGAAACGTGGAATTAGATGTGATTTCAAGAATTCTAGGCAACAAGTTCAGATTTGTGGGAGCGTACAGGCTTGGATTTTAGGACGCACAAACACCAGTACCAATTTCAGTTCAAAGCCACCAGTTTCAAAGTTGGTTAACTGCGAGCAAGAATACTTATCAGTCAAATTATCTTTTAACATCACTGCCTCTTCTTTAATCTACTAACAGAACTGCTGCATCCAATGATCTTTACTTTTTAAGCACATCAACTTCACAATACTGAGCATAGAAAGATAACAGCCCACAGAAAGGACAGCATTTGTACTTGTAAGCAAGTATTACTAAGAAGCAGCCCATTATGTAGTAAGTGCTGAAACTAGCTTCTTGTTACAGGTCTGATTCACTTTTTCAAAATCCCCCTAAAAGGAAATAGCTTGTCTAATTTTTTTAATACAGTTCCTCCTTTAAGTATTATTTAATGTTTTTTATTTTCTTTTTTTTTTTTTTTTTTTTTAAGATGACAAAGTGGTAAGAGAAATTTTAAATTTAAGGTACTGGAAATTATTCCTGCAGTTGGCTTTTTAACATTCAAAATAAGCTAGAGGGATACAGTGTTCACATGCTTTCTGAGATGTATTGTCCAGTATCACAAAGTCTAAAAGTAGATATCTAGAATTTGCTGTAACACTCAAAAGACAAACATCACAAATTCAAATGACAATGCAATATGAATTCTTCCTACAGCTGTATATCAGTATTTCCTGATCTAACTCTACAATCTTAATGCTATTTACAGTCACGTACTTTCAGTGGAGAGATCTGTAAAAAGAGATGAAAGACTGAACCTCCATTTCTGTCTTTCATTCTTGTGTCCAGACAACTGGAGAGCTAGGACTAGGGTCCCCCTTCGTCACCAAGCTAAGAATCTTACAGCTGCTCTCTCATACAACCAAAGCACGCTAGCTAGATGAAACAGGAGTATTATTAAAATACATCCAGAATAATACAGAGGAATAACAGTACCCATAAAGCAACAGTCACAAAACAAGACTTCCCTTGCAATTTTAAAAAGCATTAATTTAGCTATATTGAAAGGTGCTGCAGGAGGGTTTGATGAGTGGTTCTTTTTAATGAGCATGAGAGGTCAGAGTAAAACCAGAAACGTATGTATCAGCACTTAAGCCAGAATTAGTTAAAACTGTTAATGACATGAACTAACGAAACTGGTTAGGAAACTCTATACTGAAGATTACACCATCTCTGAAGACTTATGTTTATCCCAGTAAGCAACTCTCTTCATGCATTTTGTGCCACAGCACCTGAAATAAAAGGGAATCTCAAATGTGTAATTCATTTTCCAGAACTCTGGCTTGAATACTTGGTGGATTAGTACACTTTATAGGTGAAGATTTTCCTGTTATTTCACCTAGGCTACTGAAAAGCATGGATATAATGATTTAACTCTATTCATTTTATCCAGCCTTCACAAAGTCAAGTTAGCTAACTCAGAAATTTATAAAGTGAGCTAAACATGAGAAGCAAGAGAAATGCAAGGCACAAAAATTCTTACAGTGCTGCAGAGGGATTATTGTTCGGCAAATAAAAGCAGAAAGAATTCCTGGAAGGAGTGAGTTAAGGAGGGATTTGCAAAAGGAGAAAGGAGGTGCTTGGCATACTAAGCAGCATAAGACTGTTCCAAATATGCAGGATAACATGAATGAAAGCACAAAGACAAGGCCTTGTCTAGACTAGGATTTAAATATGCGTTTGAATGTTTTGCATGTATACCTTAGCAGATAACTTTCAAAATACTACTCTAGACATATAAGAGTTAAAACCTAAGATTCCCCAATGACCATTAAATTAAAAAACAAACAAACAAAAAAAGGGAGCACACTTAACTAACACAGATGGGGAGAAATCCATGGACAAGATCTTCAGAAGCATCAAGAGACTATAGCAAAAAGAAAGATGAAAAACTACCAAAGGAGAAGCCAGATAAGAATTGCCAACAGCTGCACTAAAGTAAATGGCCCAGCCTACATTGGAGACACACAAAGAGTCTAATCTTGTAGCTAATATGTAACACACTCCACGTCCACACAAGCATTTCAAACAATCTGTCAGGTTATCGTTAACTATGCTTACAGAGTCTACAGCTTCCAAGGGCCAGTGCGCAATGTTGACGAAGCCACTGCATCCTTGAAGCCTCGCCTGTGCGGATCCCCATCAGCTTCGCTACAGTTACAGCTCCCCGTGGCACAACTACACCTCCCACGGCAATCCCACAATGCACCATGCCGCTCATCAACGCACCGCATCTGGGAGCCGCGGGGGGCACCGGGCGCCTCTAGGGCGCTACTTGACGGAGAGCTACAGCCCAGCAGCAGCGCCTGGGCTGCCCAGATACCGAGGGGGCTCGAGGGTACCGAGGCCCCGCTGAACCCGGCTTTAGGAGCACCACTAAGTTAATCAGCGGGGAGAAGCAGGTCGGAGGCGCTACAGAAGCGATGGGCTGTGCCAGGAATCTCGGGAGAAACGAGAAGGGCCCGAGAAAGGCAGGGGAGAGGCGGTGGGTGGGCCTGCCCTGCCGGGGCCAGAGCGCACCGGGCAGCGGCAG